TCACAGTGCCTATTTGTGGAAGGTAAGACTGGGCGAAGGAGGCTTTTTCATTTATCTAATCTCTTGACTCTTTTCATTTTTCCATAAGAATCATTTGTTGTGATTTCTTAAAGTGAATGGGCTTTCCCTGATATCTCAATTGGTAAAGAATCCGCCTGCAATGCAGGAGACCCGGGTTAGATCCCTGGGTCAGGAAGATCCGCTGGAGAAGAGATAGGCCACCCACTCCAGTATTCTTGGGCTTCCCTGGGGGCTCAACTGGTGAAGAATCTTCCTGCAATGCGGGAGACCTGGGTTTGATCCCTGGGTTGGGAAGATCCCCTGGAGAACGGAAAGGCTACCCACTCTAGTATTCTGGCCTGGGGGATTCCATGGACTGTATACTCCACGGGGACCCGAAGAGTCAGACACGGCTGAACGACTTCCACTTTCACTTAGCTGTGAATAGCTAGAAAAGTCCTGTTTGTTCCTGTTTTACAAGAAGTCACACTTTTTGTCCATGGTCCCGCAGGGCAACGGCATCTGGCTTAAGACCGTTCTGCCTGTGTCTTACTTATGCTGCCGTGGGAAGTTGGGGGACAGGAGTGCTGGGCACCCGTTGACCCTTTTAATCCCTGAGTCTCAGCCAATGCTGCCCAGGCTGGTAAGGAAACATCCTCACAGTTTTCCTTGCTTTCCTCCTGCTGGCATCTGATCCCCACTGGCAAATGCTACCACTCCACTGAAGCAGGTCTATCTTTTCTCGGATCCACTGCTATCAAATGTAAGAGTTATCACCCAACATGGTAAATACCCAGCTTCTTTTGAATTTATGACACGAGGTGCTTGTTCCTAGGTCACAAGTCCAGACTGTGGGAAAGCAGCGTGAGGACTTGTCCTTGTCACAGGAAGATGCACTCAGAGCTGGGGGAGAGCTTTACTCTGAGAACAGTCTTCTCCCTGGCAAATCATCCCCCCCAGATTATCTTATGATAAACCGGTGACACTTCTGGATCAAAGAAATGCAAACATAAGCACGCAAAGAGATGGCAGGGAACCCCAGAGGGGCACTAGGTTTGGATTCACACCAACTCGGCGAAAACACAGACCTTGAGCCAGCCCCTGAGCCCATTCCACTGAGCGGACACCCTATTTTGTGCCAGGAAACGTGCTGGGCATATTTCATCAGTGGCTGGAACCTGAACAGCTTTGTATCACTTTCATCGTGGAGCAGACGAGGGAAGTGGACTCAGAGAAGAAAACCATGCTAGTGGGAGCATCCAAATGATGAAATGACAGAGTCTGGGCACCAACTTGGGAAGGTGAGGCCGGTATCCACCCCTCAGGGAAGGGAGAGTCTTGCATCTCCCACACAAGGTAGGGTGAATAAACCTCTGCTCCCAACACACCACTGCCAACAGGTGTAACTGGAGGGACATCACTGGTCAGGTGGTTCCCTATGCCCTCTCCAAGAGCCTTCTTAGGACCAAAAGTCCTCGGAGAGACAAAAACCAAGAGGACCCCGAGAGGCTACTACAGTGCCGAGCGGGAGCTGGCTGGGGCCCACGGCCGGGATCAGCACCATCGAGGCGGTGAAGCAGGAGGTCCAGGTTCCACGGCAGCCGGCCGGTGATGCAGGCGAGAGTGCTGAGCGCCTCCAATGGGAGATGCAGGGAGAGAGGCGGGCCCGGGGCAGGGCAGGCTGAGGTGGCCTCCTTGAGCCTAGGATCCAGCTGGCTGAAGAGGAGCTGGACTGAGCTCAAGAGCGCCTGGCCCCTGCCCTGCAAGAGCTGAAGGAAGCTGAGAGAGCTGCCGGTGAGCCCAAGAGCGGCATGAAGGTGTGAAAACCGAGCCTTAAAAGATGAAGAAAGAAATGGAACTCCGGGAAACCCAACTCAAAGATGCTAATCACACTGCACAAGAGGCAGACCGGAAGTAGGAAGAGGTGGCTTGTAAACTGGGGATGCGAAGAACTGACTCCTTGGAAAAGTCCCTGATGCGGGGAGAGATTGAAGGCGGGAGGAGAAGGGGATGACATAGGATGAGATGATTGGCTGGCATCACTGACGCGATGGACATGAGTTTGAGTACACTCCGGGTGTTGGTGATGGACAGGGAGGCCTGGCGTGCTACAGTCCACGGGGTCACAAAGAGTTGGACACGACTGAGTGACTGAACTGAACTGAAGCTAGGGATTATGGGGGGACCTGGCAGCACAGAGGAGCGAGCCGAGCTGGCAGAGTGCCACTGTCGAGAGATGGATGAGCGCATCTGACTGATGGAGCAGAACCTGAAGTGTCTGAGTGCTGCTGAAGAGAAGTACCCTCAAAAAGGAGACAAATACGAGGAAGAGATAAAGATTCCTACCTATAAACTCAAGGAGGCAAAGACTGGGGTTGAGTTTGTTGAGAGATCAGTAGCCGGGCTGGAACAGACAATGGACGATTTGGAAGAGAAAGTGAAATGTACCCAAGAGGAGCATCTCTGTAAGCAAAGGATGCTGGGGCAGACGCTGCTCGACCTGAACGAGATGTAGAGTGCCCGGTCGCCCCCTGCCGCAGCTCCTCCCCCGACCCCGACTCCGTTGAGAACAGCCTGTCTGAAGCTCACCTGCAGACTGAGGACTGATCTTCATTTAACTGGAAGCCCGCTTCTCTCCTTCTGCCACCTTTCCCACCCTCACCTCTGTGTCCCTTTTGCCAAACTGTCTCTGCCTTTCCCCAGAGACCCCAGCTGGGCTAGAGGCGGAACACCTTTGGGGATAAAGTTTAAGGGAATGTGAGCACAGTTCGAAGTGTCTTTAAGAGCCTGCTGTGATGTACACATTTTGTAATTACCTTTTTCTGTTGATGTAACAACAATTTGTAAAAATGTTCCAGACAATTCCACGGTTCTGAAGCAACAGTCTAACCCCTCTCTCACTTTTGGAAGGTAACGTTTCAGCTTAATGCATATCGCCTTCTCCAGCAGTTCAGTTCATTCCCTCAGTCGTGTCCGACCCTGCGACCCCATGGACTGCAGCACGCCAGGCCTCCCTGTCCATCACCAGCTCCCGGAGTTTACCCAAACTCATGTCCATTGAGTCGGTGATGCCATCCAATCATCTCATCCTCTGTCATCCCCTTCTCCTCCCGCCTTCAATCGTTCCCAGCATCAGGGTCTTTTCAAAGACCTTCTCCATAGGGGAGGGGAAAAGGTATGGGCCTGCCTTACTGAGAGCCTTTCAGCCCAGAAAAAGACTCTATTTGGGGAAACCTCATTGCTCTGGAAAAGTACATGCCAAACCACAAAGATGATTGCAGGACGAGTTAGCCAAAAAAAAAAAAAAAAAGTGCTGTTCCAGTTTTCAACTTTACGGTATCTTTGAAACTTTTTTTCTCTCTTTTTTCATCAGAAGTGACCCAAGAAATTTAAGATGGTGAAAGCTCTGAAACCAAATCTTTGTCCCAGCTCTACCCTGTTCTCAACCTGAGCTCACAGAGTGGATCATGTGGCCCTTATGTCGAGGTGAACACATTTGCTCTCCTGCCTCCTTGAAAGAAAGGAAAGAAAAGTATGTTTTGCACTGATTTAACCATAGGAAACTCATCTCATCACCCTTTTCTGGGTCTGAAGCTGCTGTCTCTAAAAGTGCCACCTCACTGTGGTTTGTATCGGTTACTGCTGGAGAGAGCTGGAAGAGCTTGTGTACAAACCTGTTTATAAATTTTATATTATTTTGGAACTTTGTTTCTTTGGGTTGGGGCGCACCAGTGACCCCTCTGGCTGTGAGAGCTCTCTACAGCCTGTGGGCTGGCAGTGTGCTGATCTTTCAGAGTTTCTTTCCCTACCCAATCCCCCCTTTCGGATGAGATTTCAGTGAGGTCTGCTAGGTGAGTATGCTGCAGCTTAATTTCCTTAAAGTGTTCTTTCATTTGGTGTGGTCTCTTTGGGGATCCACCAGGAGAAAAAACCAATGGTGCAGCTGTTCTGATACCGAAAATTGATAAACATTTTTTTGAAATAAAGAACAAGTCCCTGTCTGATGGCTCAGATGGGAAAGAACCTGCCTGCAATGAGGGAGACATGGGTTCGATCCCTGGGTTGGAAAGATTCCCCTGGAGAAGGGAATGGCAACCCACTCCAGTATTCTTGGCTGGGAAATCCCATGGACAGAGGAGCCTGGTGGGCTACAGTCCACGGGGTTCGCAAAGAGTCAGACACTACTGAACAACTCAGCACATACATTTCCCCTCCAAAAAAGAAGAAGAAGATCCTGACACTGCATAGAAAGAAGAAGCCCTAAACCAAGATCAGTGGATGGAAACTGTGCTTTGGCAGCAGATGAGCCTGGATTCAAATGCTGGCTCCAAAGTGAACCTGCGGTTTTGGGTACTTTACGTGACTTCTCTGGGGCCTATTTTCTAATGTGTAAAAAGAGACTATCATGTGCGTTAGTCGGACTGTAGCCCGCCAGGCTTCTCTGTCCATGGAATTCTCCAGGCAAGAATACTGGAGTGGATTGCCATTCCCATCTCCAGAGTAACTTCGCAACTTAGGCATCGAACCCTGGTCTCCTGCATTGCAGGCAGATTCTTTACCGTTTGAGGTACAGAGAGGTCAGAAAGAAAAAAGAGAGAGAGACTGGTGAGAGTTTAAAATGGGATTATAAAGCCCTAGCCTAGGGTATTTAGAGCAGCTGATGATCTCAGGGAGGGGGCCCTAGAGAGCTCCTCGAAAATACAAGGGGAGGAGAAAAGTTCTTGGGCCCTGGATAGTCGGTGGGTCTTCAGGTCATTCCCCGGTCTACTCAACCCAGCCCTGACCTCAAGCCTGGAATCAGCTTCACGCGCCTCGGTGCTTGTGATAAGAGACCGCCTCGCTCCTCTGTTGGGAGGACTTTCGGGAGAGGCGCCTGGGCGGGGCCGCCGGCTTGGGGAGGGGCCTGAGTGGGGCTGAGTCCCTCCAGGCTTTGAGGCTGAGCCTATTTCAGCTCCAGGCCGGGGACAGCCCCCCTCAGCGACCTCGGGGTCCTGGAGGAGATGAGGGGCGGCAGGCTGTCCCGGGTAAGCTGGTCCCCGGCCCTGGGCCTGGGCCTGGCGCCCCTGCTGGTCCTGCTCTGGGCCGGGCCAGGCGGCAGGGCGGACGGGGTGCCTTGGGGCTTCCAAGGCTGCAAGCAGCAGCTGAATGTGTCGGTGCTGGGGGCGCTGCCTGGAGTGGGCTGGGACAACCTGCGCAACATGGAGCTGGGGCTGGTGCTCGGGCGCGCCTACTCGCAGTGCCTGACCACCGAGGACGGCGAGTACCTCATCCCCGACGGCATGCTGGCGGTGCCGCGGCGCGAGAGCGTGGTGCAGACCCGCGCCGACCTGATGGACAGCTGGGTCAACTACACTGACGCCTGGGCGGCCTCGGTCAACGCGGACTTCTCCTTCCTCTCCATGCTCAACGGCAAGTTCCCCGTGGACTGCCAGAACGTCCGGAGGTACAGCCCACAGTACCAGACGGTCACCACCCGCGTGCAGCGGCGGCATAGCATGTACTCCGTGAGGGTCCGGGGGACCCCCAACTTCCACCCCGACTTCCGGCAGCGCCTGCTGACCCTCAGCGACCACCTGGAGAGCAACGAGACCCGCGAGGCGGAGTACCTGGCGGAGATGCTCGTGCTCGCGAGGCGGAGTACCTGGCGGAGATGCTCGTGCTCGCGAGGCGGAGTACCTGGCGGAGATGCTCGTGCTCGCGAGGCGGAGCACCTGGCGGAGATGCTCGTGCTCGCGAGGCGGAGCACCTGGCGGAGATGCTCGTGCTCGCGAGGCGGAGTACCTGGCGGAGATGCTCGTGCTCGCGAGGCGGAGCACCTGGCGGAGATGCTCGTGCTCGCGAGGCGGAGTACCTGGCGGAGATGCTCGTGCTCGCGAGGCGGAGCACCTGGCGGAGATGCTCGTGCTCGCATACGGCACGCACGTCCTCACCGAGGTGGAGGTGGGAGCCACCCTGGTGCAGGAGGACCAGGTGAGGCGGGAGCTGGTGGGCCACGAGGAGGAGGAGAGGCTCAACATCACCTTCGCCGCCTCCGCCTTGTTCGACCTGAAGGTCGGGGTGAGCGACGCGGTGCCCTGGGACAAGCAGAGCCAGCTGGTGCAGGCATACCAGCGGGGCACGGTGGCCTCCAAGATACACAGCCGCGGGGGCCCGCCCTTCTACGAGGGCCTCACCCTGCAGCAGCGGCAGGAGGGCGTCGCCAACCGTCTGGTGGCCATCGGCCGCGCGGGCCTGCCGCTGCCGGCGCTGCTGCAGCCTGAGGCGCTGCCCGAGCTCCCAGCGCCTGCCGTGCGCCTCCTGGAAGCGGCCGTGAGCGGCGCCATCGGCCGCTACTACGCGGTCGACATGCACCCCGGGTGCGTGAAGCGCGGGGCCCCCAACTTCGACCCGCAGGCCAACGTGGACGACGGCTCGTGCACCGACGGCCAGCACGCCAACTTCAGCTTCGGGGGCGTCTTCCAGGAGTGCGAGGCCATCACGGGCCCCGAGGGGGGCCGCCTGTGCGCGCCCTGCACCATCCCGAACCCGCTCACCGGTCGCGCCTCCTGCCCGGCCAACTACACGGCCAGCCTGCTGAGCAGCGAGGTCAAGGTGTGGCGCGAGAGCAGCCACGAGTGCTGGCTGCAGGGCCCCACCTGCTTCCTGTTCTTCACCTGCTGCCGGAAGGTGTGCGGCTTCGTGGAGGTCCAGCGCGCAGTGCGCGTCAACGCGGCCTGGTGCGCGGCCTCGGGAGCCGCCCCGCCGGCCGCGGCCCGCCTCCTCTTCGGAGGCCTCTACAGTCCCGGCCGCCCCAACGCCCGCACCGGGGCCCCGGCCTGCCCCTCGGCCTTCTCCCCGCTGACCCTCCCGGGCGGCCTCAAGGTGTGCGTCGGCAGCGACTGGGAGCTGGGCGCGGCCCGCGCGGTGCCCTTCGGGGGTTTCTTCAGCTGCCAGATGGGCAACCCCCTGGCGGCCCGGACGAGGGGCCAGGGCCCCGAGCTCATGAAGGAAGTCTTCAGCCTGAACGTGGCCACGGACAGCCCCGTGGCCTACCCCGCGGGCTACAGCCAACACCCGGCTTGCCTCAGCAGCGGCTGCCTGACCCTCTACTGCGTCCGGGCCGGCTTCCTCTTGGACCCGCAGCAGCTCGTGGTCCGGCTGCCGCCCTTTGCCGCCCGCCCCGGCCTGCTGGGCAACAGCAGCGGCCGCAGGGCCTCGGTCCTGGGGGACGCCAGCGGTCAGCAGGCCTGGGTGAAGCTGCAGGGCTCCGGCCGCTGGCGGCAGGCCGATATCCACGACCCAGCCCTGGCAGCGCTGCTCCTGGGTCAGGGGCGTTCCCGGCCCAGTGCTGGGGCCATCGCGGGCGCCTGCCTGGGGGGCCGTCGTGGGCGTGGTGGCTCTGGGTCTGGCGGTAAACTGGGGCTTCAGGCCCTACCAGAAGCGGGGTTACAGGAGACTGCCGGAGGGCATCCTGGCCGAGGAGCAGACAGTCTATGGGACCGCAGAAACCACTGCGAGCCCAGCTCTGTCTGACCGCTCAGAGAATGCCAACAATTCTGTCTAGACTTGGACCAAACGGCAGCATCCTTCGCCCCTAGTCAGAGATTTAGTCCAGTCTGTTTCTTCCACTGCCTGGGTAACCAGATGTGAGATACCTGCTCGTAGAATGGGCTCCACTTTCTCAAGGTTCAGGGACTAAATTGTACTTTCTCAAGTCGTGCCCCAAATCACCAAATTCAAGCTCAATTCCTGGAACAGTCTCTTTCCCTAAAGCCCTCTTGTTGCAAGCACCCATGCCCGCATTCTTCTTGCCATATTCTTAGGTTGGGCACTTTCTTTGTTGCAAAGAGCCAATAAACCCAACTTTGTTAAATTACAGGTGTGTTCCTGGTGTTCTTTGGTGGGGGATGGGATGGGGTAGGAGGGGAAGCAACAGAGAAGGTAGAATCAGTATTGACCCCAGGACATCTGATGTGGATTTGTGTTAGAATTTTTTTGTTGTTAATTGTTATAAAATTCATTTTGTCCATTCGTTTTCCCAGAATCATTGCCTTGAATCCCCAAAGTTCCCTCTTGGACTCGTTTTAAGTTAGAGGGTCTGTTATTTCTGTTTTCCAAATAGGGCCTGACCTACTTGTGTATGATAGAATGAATTAGGTTGTTTTTTTAATCACTTTTTTAAAGCAAAATTTTTAAAGACAGAAAACGGTATATTGCATGAAACAGTTATAACGATTATTTTGTGAAATAAGTTAATCACATAAAATTGCCCAAAACCAACCATTTTAACTCACCCTAAAATGGCAGGTATATATACACACACGTATATATGGGATCACAATGTAAAGTGTGATGCAAACTATGATCACACTCAAAAGACTTGAAAGCCATGGGAAAACTCTTCCATTTCATCCTCTATTCTGTGAAACTCAGTTTTGGAAAACTCAGAGTCCTCACCCACGGTGGAAGAGGTCTCCTTTTGCAGATTCTATTTTTCTCCAGTACACCAGAGTAAATGTCATTCTTTAATCCAATACAAGTTTTTTGGGGTCAGTGTTCCATTTGTAATGTTCTTGCAGTGAAAGCCTCATCACGATTTAAGCCCAGAGTGTGGGTCTGGTTGTCACAAGGACAAACGCAGAGTGTCCCATTAAACCCTATTTAACCTTGAGACCACAGGACCCGCAGGACCGAGTCCAGATGGTTTCCTCATGTGGGACTTTTAGAGCCAATTCTGAAGGCACTTGGAGAGGCCCTAGCTAGCAGCAAATGTCGCCCCGCTAGGGTGCACAAGACTCCTATTTCCATGGCCTGAGTGACCTAGGTGAGTTGTTTTGCTTCTTGTTGTTTCACCAACTCTAGCTACACAGTGGAATATTCCAGAGTCCTGATGGGATGGTATTGGTGCAATGGTATTGGTGAGTCCTGAGAGAGCAGACAATAGAAATCCAAGTGATTCCGGGATGTCTGAGCTATTTCTCCTGCTCTGACATGTGCACATTGGAGTAGACTGTCAGCTGAGAACTGATTGACCGGTGGCTCTCCTGAGCTTTCTCCAGACTTGTGGTCATTACCCTTTATAGAGGCTTTCTTTTCGTGAAAGTTACCTTTATGATAGCATCTCACCGTCTTCACAAACCTTATGTAGGTGAGTAGTTCTCACGCTCTGAGTGAGGAAATTGAGGCTCAGACACTGACCTGCCCAAAGTTACATGACTCAGATATTAAGAATAATAATTGTGGGACACCCTTGCCTGCCCAGTGGTTAAGACTCTATGCTACCAATGCAGGAGGCATGGGTTTGATCCCCTGTTGGGAATGTAAGATCCCACATACATCATGACATGGTCTGAAAATTAAAGAAAAGAAGAAGAAGAAAAATGACCCATGCCTTGTGAGTATTTAGAATTTGCCCTTTGGAAAGATTATTTCATTTAATTATTTGCTGAGGATCACAATACACCTACGGGCTTGGTCTGGGGCAGATGTGGGCCTCTGGAAATTCCCTGTGCCTTAGTTTGGTCTTCTGTTAAATGTAGATAGCATGTTAAGTTCTCAGGTTACCTGAGAAGATTAAATTAGCTAATGGATGCAAAGTCCCTTGAAATAGTTTGCTGTTGTTCAGTCGCTCAGTTGTGTCTGACTCTTTGAGACCCCATGGACTGCAGCACGCCAGGGCTCCCTGTCCATTACCATCTCCCGGAGCTTACTCAAACTCATGTCCATCGAGTCGGTGACGCCATCCAGCCATCTCATCCTCTGTCGTCCCCTTCTCCTCCCTTCAGTCTTTCCCAGTATCAGGGTCTTTTCCAGTGAGTCAGTTCTTCACATCAGGTGGCCAAAATGAAACAGCCTGGCCTTTCTCAGTCTGGAACTGATGACACCAGCATTATGGAGTCTGACTTGCCACTGCTTTCAGAGCAGCATTCCAGAGTCAAATCAGATGAACTGGGTTTGAGTCCCAGCACAGCTGCCTCCTAGCTCCATGCCTATGAGAAAATGGCCTCACCTCCCTGAGAACTAATCTCAGCTGGTAAATGGGGATGATCGTAGACTGGTGTCATACGTTGTTACAAGGATTTAATGAGAAGTGCGTGGAAGTTCCCTGGTATGTGGCCTCTTGTCTGGCAGCTCCCGGTGAGCTGTGTCATCACGAGGCCTCAGGACACAAAGGTGTATGTTTGGGGCCCAGTTGAGTGGGTAAGGCACCTACAAAATACAGCTCACCCGTAGTAAGAATGTCATAGAGCTTCAAATGAAACATTATGGGAAAGCGAATTAGGGTCACACTCTAGCTGGGGGGGCACTCACAGGATTTCTGGCATGGGACTGGACTCAGGTCAGCTCGGCATATTTTCAGGTTCGTTGAGTTCTACAGGCCTGGGAGGGTCCTTTCAACAGAAACTCTCAGTGCATTTCCTGGAGCAGTCCTCCAGGCTTCAACAACTGAGCTCTCTGAGTGATAGAGCAGGGCACCCTGAGCCTCTGCCCCGTCTCACACTCACTCTGCTGCACACGCTGACCTCCACGTCCAGTGATGGCTGATGAAACCCTGCTCATCAATCAGACTGGGTTCAGGGCCCGAGAGCCCAGGTTTTGCAACAAGAGAAGCCTCCACGGTGGGAAGCCCATGCGCTGCAGCTAGTCAGGAGCCCCACCCCCGCCGGTTCAGAGCAGCTCGGGCACACCCCTGGGCGGCAACGGAGACCTGGCACAGCCACAAGCAAAAAGGAAGAAAAAAAGGACTAGGGTCAAAGGTCACCTCCCCGAGGACGCAGGAGAATCCATTTCTGGCTGCCCTCTCTCCGCCACCCCACATCTCCATCTCATCAGCTTGTCGCTCAGCCGTGTCCGCATCTTTGCCACCCCACGGTCCTCCAGGCTCCGCTGTCCGTGGGATTCTCCAGGCAAGAACACTGCAGTGGGTTGCCAGTTCCTTCTCCAGGGGATCTTCCTGACCCAGGGATAGAACCCATGTCTCCCACATTGCAGGGAGATTCCTTACCATCTGAGCCCCCAGGGAAGCCACACATTCCTTCCATCTCCCAGGAAGAATTTGTCTCTTATTCCTCCTAACCTCTTTAAGCATGTAATTGTGAGCCTGTCCCTTGGCATGAGTTCTTCATCCAACCTGATCAGGAGCTCCCTGAATGGGGGAAGGGAAGGTGCTGTGCTCATTGGACTCATTTCCAGAGCTCGGTGTCAGACAGAACACGCAGTAGTTGCTCTACAAGTTTGCTGGATGAAAGAAAACCGGAAGAGATCTTGGGAGGCCCCAGGTGATAAGACTCAGCCATCAGATCCTTTTAGGTTCCTTGCCCTTCTGGGATACTTACATGTATTATGTCATGAATGAATGAGTTTTAAGCATCATTTTGCCTAGTATAAGTGCTTGAATAAATACAATGATCAATGTAACTCAGTTTTCACTGACTCAAGATATTCAAGGCAGACAGACAAAAAATAAAAAACATGGGACAAGGGGAGGTGCTGGCCTGGGGGAACCCCTGAGTCTCCAGATTCCTTTCAGAACTCTGAGGAGCAGTGTGGAGGGGCTGTTGAAACTCCATCCCAGCCAAGGACAGAACGGGGACTGATGGACCAAGAGCTGCCTGGGAGGTACTCTTGGACATCACACAGCGCCTCCTCCTGAAACTGGCTTCTCTGGGACACTGGGTGGTTTCCATCTCGTGGTAAGTCCCGCAGAACAAAGAGGTCTCTCTCCTTATTTTGACCGTCAAAAAGCTTCAAGCCAAATTTGGTCCTGTCTACAGCATTCTTGTTACTAAACTCCATCTTAGTTCTAATTTTTCTGCACTTCTATTTCCTCTTAACTCATTTTTTTCAAGTTTTATGATTTATTTTTTTATTTACATAAAAAACCATATGTTATTTTTAAAATATAAAGAAATGGATAACAGCTGAGCAGTCACAAGGGTGAACCTGGTCAATTCTGAGCCCCAGCTTCCACGCCCAGTCTTTATTTCAGCCACAATCTCACCACCTAGAGCTTTAGGCTTGGTCTGATTCATCTTGTACCAACTGACTTATACTGTACTGACTCCATAGAGATGGACTGTTGTAAATCAGATAGCCTCTGGTTATCTCAAGGAGTTCCTGAAAATTTGACAATGAAGACTAATTTTAAATTTAATTGTAAAGCTATGATGTTGTTTTTAAAAACAGCTTAGAGGAGCAAAAAAGAAGGATGTGTGTTTGTTGTAAAAAGAATGTTGCGGCATTGAAAGTCTGAGAATCATTAAATTCAGTCATTCAGTTCAGTCCCTCAGTCATGTCTGACTCTTTTGTGACACCAGGAACCGCAGCACGCCAGGCCTCCCTGTCCATCACTATCTCCCAGAGCTTACTCAAACTCATGTCCTTTGAGACAGTGATGCCATCCAACCATCTCATCCTCTGTCGTCCCCTTCTCCTCCCACCTTCAATCTTCCCCAGCATCAGGGTATTTTCCAATGAGTCAGTTTTTCGCATCAGGTGGCCAAAGTATTGGTGCTTCAGCATTAGCATCAGTCCTTCCAATGAATATTCAGGACTGATTTCCTTTAGGATGGACTGGTTGGATCTCCTTGCAGTCCAAGGGACTCTCAAGAGTCTTCTCCAACACCACAGTTCAAAAGCATCAATTCTTCAGCGCTCAGCTTTCCTCACAGCCCAACTCTCACATCCACACATGACCACTGGAAAAACCATAGCCTTGACTAAATGGACCTTTGTTGGCAAAGTAATGTCTCTGCTTTTTAATATGCTGTCTAGGTGGGTCATAGCTTTTCTTCCAAGCAGCAAGCGTCTTTTCATTTCATGGCTGCAGTCACCATCTGCAGTAATTTTGGAGCCCAAGAAAAATAAAATCTCTCACTGTTTCCACTGTTTGCCCACCTATTTGCCATGAGGTGACGGGACCAGATGCCATGATCTTAGTTTTTTGAATGTTGAGTTTTAAGCCAGCTTTTAGTTTCCTCTTCCACTTTCATCAAGAGGCTCTTTAGTTCCTCTTCGCTTTCTGCCATAAGGGTGGTGTCATCTGCATATCTGAGGTTATAGGCAATCATTAAGTTATAAGCAAACAAATCAGCAAAATGTTGATCAAAAATTAGACTGGATTTTGAGGAATCTTTGCTGGGCTCCATGGTTTGGAGAGTCCAGAGTAGGGAAGGGAGGATGTGTGTGTTAGTCACACAGTTGTTTTCAACTCTTCGTGACCCCGTGGACATCCCCATGGGAGTCTTCAGGTAAGAATACTGGGGAGGGTTGCCATGACCTTCTCCTGGGGATCTTCCTGACCCAGGGATCAAACCTGGGTCTCCTGAATTCCAGGCAAATTGTTTACTATGTGAGGCACTAGGGTAGGGAGAGTAGCAGGTAAGGAAGATGTGGAAGAGTTTTCCACTCTGCATTTAAATCATTGCTGTATTCATTCTTAAGGTGCTTCTCAGATGGATGACACTTCACCAAGTGAGGAAGATGAAAACCACTGAAGAAAATATAGGAAAGAAACCACTGTTACTTGAGTAGGTAAAAGACTTTTCCATGAGATACCAAAAGCACCATTCATAAAGGAACAAACTAATAAGTTGACTTGGAAGGAAACCAGAATGTTATCCCAAATATGCTCTTTGACATAATTACTTTGAATTAAATTCAATTGCTGACTCATTTGAAAAGACCATGATGTTGGAAAAGATTGAAGGCAGGAGCGGGAGGGGAAGACAGAGGATGAGATGGTTGGATGGCATCACCGACTCGATGGACATGAGTTTGAGTGAACTCCGGGAGTTGGTGATGGACAGGGAGCCCTGGCATACTGCAGACCATGGGGTCGCAAAGAGTTGGACACGGCTGAGCGACTGGACTGCACTGAACCGAAGAAGCAGCAAACAGGCATTGTATGTGTTAGTCACCTAGTGGTGTCCAACTCTTCGTGACCCCACGGACTGTAGCCCGCCAGGCTCCTCTGTGTATGGGATTCTCCAGGCAAGAATACTGGAGTGGGTCGCCATTTCTTTCTCCAAAGGATCTTTCTGACCCACAGATCGAACCCAGATCTCCTGCACTCAGGCAGTTTCTTTACCATCTGAGCTATAGGGAAGTTCCAGCAAACAGAGAAGCTCCTCTTTTTCTGCCTAAAGGCAGGATCTAAGTTCTATTTTTCTTATCAGCCCAGAGGAATTTGCAAACCAACTTTGCCCCATAATTTTCCTCTCATATATTTAACTTCTCATACTTTGCCCTCCTTGGAAGCCTAACTTTTCCTTCACCCTGTCATTTCTCTACAAATTTGTTATTTCTGCTGAAGACACCACATAAGTCAGAATTCCAGGCTACGACGTTGAGTTACTTTTCGTTTAGGTTTCTCCTGAACAATGTGCACTTCATGTTTTAACAAGCTGTATGTTTTTCTCTTTTAGGGTTAACATTATGGTTTCCTTCCAAGTCAACTTATTAATTTGTTCTTTTATGAATGGTGCTTTTGGTATCTCATGGAAAAATCTTTTCCCTACTCAAGTAACAGTGGTTTCTTTCCTATATTTTCTTCAGTGGTTTTCATCTTCCTCACTTGGTGAAGTGTCATCCATCTGAGAAGCACCTTAAGAATGAATACAGCAATGATTTAAAATACTAAACATCTGGTCCTCAAGAAATAGCTTGTTAGCTCTTCATATAGAGCACAGACTGTCCAATGGTTGCCAAGAGGCCCTGGTCCCTTAAACACAGCGGTGACCAATTGGGGACTGAGTTTGCCAGACATCCGATGCTCGTCATGGTCCAGAAGTGGTTCAGATTATGCATCTTGTCACCATCCTACCATTGTCTCTGTGTCCTACCCCACTCCAGGGAAACTCAGTCCTTTTTTTTTCTCCTTTGAACTTCAGGCTTTATTTATTTGAACTGGAGGATCATTGCTTTATAATCAGCTGTATGCACACATATCTCTCCTCCTGAGCGTCCCTCCACGCCTGCGCTCCTCCCCTCCGATCACAGCTCAGCACTGAGCCCCCTGCTCTAGACGGCGGCCTCCGGCCCCTGCCCGCTTCGCACAGGCCGTGTGTATATGTGAGCGCTCCTCTCTCCGCTTGCCCCACCACCCCCTTCCTCCCCGCGTCCACAAGTCTGCTCTCTGGGCCTGTGTCTCTATTCTTGCCCTGCAAATAGGCTCATCAGCACGGTTTTGCTGATGTCATACATGTGCGTTAACACACTCTATTTGTGTTTCTCTTCCTGACTTTGCTTTCTACAGCACAGCCCCGTTCCTTTATTCTCTAACATTAGAAGTTAAGAATCACACGAGAACTTTCCGTCTGTAGCAGGCTTTCTGGTATGTGAGGTTGCAGAGCAAATATCAAGTGGGCGACCAAGGGCTGTCTCTTAGGTAAGTCTGCCACCTGCGAACCAGCGCGTCTTACTCACAGGCTCCCGTTTCCCACACCGTCTCCCTTCCACACTCACTCTGCTGCACCTGCGAGCAGCACTCCAAGGCCTTCTCCCTCTGCTCTGCCAGGGAAGTTGGCCCTTGTGTGTTACTAACTCAAGTCAAGTCCCATCACTTTGCTGCTTCAACACTGTCAGCATCCCCAGCTTAAAAACAAGGAAAGACCAGAAAAGGATTTGCAGAGATACTGCAGCTTCCCCAATACATTTCCTACTCTTCAAGCAGTGATTGCAGTTTAAGGGGGCAGTTTTCCCATCTGTTAAACATTTTTTTATGCTTGCATTTATTTCAAGTGAAAAAATATTTTATTGCAGCAGGGTTGATTTACAATACTTATATTAGTTTCAACTGTACTGTGTAGTGATCCAAAATTTTTATAGATTGTACTCCATTCAAAGTTGTTACAAAAGAACGGCCGCATTCCCTTTGCTGTACTATATACCGCTGTGGCTTCTTTATTTTGCACATTATAGTTCGCACCTCCTAATTCCCTACCCCATCCTCCCCCTTTCCTCGGTCCCCTCGTAACCAGAACTTTGTTCTCTGTATCTGTGGTCTGCTTCTGTTTCGTTATATCAGCTCCCATTGTTTCATTTTTTAGGTTCCACATATAAGTGATAACATACAGCATTTGTCTGCCTCTGTCTGACTTATTTCACTAAGCACAATACCCTCCAATTCCTTCATTTTATTTTTTAAGTTTTTTTTCTTTTTTGGATGTGGACCATTTTTAACGGGTTTTCATTAATTTTTTGCACTATCGCTCCTGTTTTATGTTTGGTTTTTTTGGCCCAGAAGCACGTGACATCCTAGCTCCCTAACCAGGGCTCCAACCTGCACTCCCGGCATTGGAAGAAGAGATTCCAGCTACTGAACAAGGTGCCTCCACCCATGTGGTTAGCAAGATCCCTCTGTTTGTGGCTGAATATTATTCCACTTCTGTTAAACTCTCATTAACGCTGTTGCCCTTAGCCTGTTGAACCACCACACCATGAGCTCCTTGAGGTCACCGAGCTGCCCTGTTCTCCTGGGTCGTCCTTCGCTTCCTGCGGAGCCACACCACCAGCAACTAGCACGCCAAGCAGAAATATGCGAAGAGAAGGTCTCAGCAACAAAGGAGCGGGTGGCGGAGAGGAAGGAAGCCCATCCTCCAAAGCTCTCGAGTCTGTGGAATGAGGTCCGGGTAGCGTTTCAGGAAACAGTTGGCTCAGATGTTAACATTTTTGAAAATAGGCCATTCTGATGCAGAATTACATGCACAGTTCTCTTGAAATCTCAGATCTGCCCAAGCAGACCTTCTGCCCACAAGGCAATAATCAGCCAGAGCTCGGTAAGCTGCTGTCCCTCAGGCGGGTCCTGTGTTGTCCCGAATGCCATGGAGCGGAGGGGAGCCCACCGCACCCACATCACTGTTCGTTAATTCATCCCCTGTCCGCCACCAGGAGGAATGTGAGCTTCCTCCACTCGTGCTGTAGAGGAAAGTCTGACGTGAGTCCAGGGAAGATTTCTAAATTTACCGTTTTAAAAAAACGATCTGCCTCTGTCAGGGTTCCTCCGTTTTTGCAACGTGTCCTGCATTGAAAAGTGAAAGTCGCTCAGTCGTGTCCAGCTGCTTGTGATCCCATGGACTATACAGTCCATGGACTAAGCAAAGACAAACCAAAAGAGTTGAAGTAACTCTTAAGAACAGAAAACACACACATACACTAACTTCAATAGATTAAAAAAATACATATAAATAACCCACAACATGAACTGATTAAAGGAGATAACATGATCATACTTAATAAATGAAGGAAAGGCCTTTGATGAAACTGAAAGCTTATTTAGGGCTTCCCTGATAGCTCAGTTGGTTAAGAATTCGCCTGCAATGCAAGAGACCCCGGTTTGATTCCCGGGTTGGGAAGATCCACTGGAAAAGCGATAGGCGACCCCCTCCGGTATTCTTGGGCTTCCCCGTGGCTCAGCACTGCTATACGATTTGCTCACTTTGTTGTTGTTGTCTAATCACTCATGTCCGATCCTTTGCCCACAGGCTCCTTTGTCCATGGGATTTCCCAGGCAAGAATATGGGAGTGGGGAGCCATTTCCTTTTCCAGGGGAACTTTCCAACCCAGGGATCGAACCTGCGGCTCCTGCATTGGCAGGCAAGCTCCTAACCACTGAGCTACCTCACTAGACAAGGTCGATTTGTCCTTTCACTTGTTTTCCTTTTGGGAATATCCTGCTTAAACAGAGCAAAGGGTGATTTTATGTAAGCCCCGCCTTACCCCCTCCCCCCAAAAATACCCCAGTTTATTTAGGAATAGCAGAGGAATTACATTTCAAGACAAGCAAACTGTGGTTAACAAATAGGCAAGTCCAGAGAGAAAGGAGAGCATTCTTTTATAGAAGAAAGGAGAAAGTTGGGAGGGGTTGCCCTGAGCAGAAATTCACTGGAGAAAAGGAGAGCTGGAAGCGGTGGAGGCCCTAACTGGCTGCAGACCAGGGCAGCCTGCTGTTGCTGGGTGAGAGAGGAAATCCTCCTCCTCCCTGCTGATCCACGCAAGCTGCAGAGATGAGCACGGGCCTGAACACCCTCCCTTCACGGCCTCCAACTCCAGCTTTGAGTAAGCGTTCTTTAATTCATCGTCACACTCATGACGTGTCAGGGGGCCTACGCAACCACATAATGCCTGCATTTCCTATCTGGAGCAGTTAGCCCAGCTCTGACCTACCGAGTTTGTGGTTCCATGGTCAATGCAGTTTCCCAAGGGATCGGGTGGCAAACTCAGGTCTTGCAGGAAAGTAGTTTTTATTTATTCGGAATCAGCGTCACACGAGGCCCAGCTCACCAGATTCTGCAGATTCAACGTGCACCAATGAAATGTCTTTCATTCGGAAAATATCTACGAAGGCTGGAAAGCTGGATGCACATGCCTCACGAAGTTCACCCAGATCATGCTTGGAGCCTTCATGTGTGGTGAC